CTTTCTTTCTTTCTTTCTTTCTTTCTTTCTTTCTTTCTTTCTTTCTTCCTCTCTCTTTATCTCCTTCCTCCCCTCCCTCTCTCTTTCTTTCTTTCCTTCTTCCTCTCCTCCTCCCCCCCTTCTCTTCTTCCTCCACACTTAACCTCCTCCTCCTTTTCTTCTTCTGGACTGTGAATGGCTTGTATCTCTGCCCTGTTCTCCACCTGTATCCTGCTTTCCCGGTTCTTTTGGTCTTTTAAAGGCCCTCTTTTAGAGACATTAGCAACAGTGTGTTGGACCTGGCCCTGCCAGTGCATAAGAACTGCTTGTTACATTTTCAGAAATGTTATTCCAGCTCATGTAGCACTAGTATAGTTGATGTCAAGTTACTGTGGTAGGACTATTTACTCTCTGGAAGTTGAGAAACTATAAACCGCCCCTACCAGGAACACGCCACTGGATAGTTAATACTCCCCCACCTTTTTTGTTTTTGTTTTTTTGAGACACAGTTTTTCTGTGCAGCCCTGGCTGTCCTGGAACTCCCTTTGTAGACCAGACTGGCCTCGAACTCACAGAGATCCGCCTGCCTCTGCCTTTCAAGTGCTAAGATTAAAGGCATGTGTCACAATCACCCAGCAAACTCCTTTTCTATAACGTAAACTGGAAATTTTCCCTCTAGTTTTTCAAGTATTTTTCTTTTGCTTATGATATGTTTTGCTCTACAAAAATTATATTTTTATGCTTCAAGTTTTGACCTTTTCCCCATTTCCTCACATGCCTCACAAATTCCTTAGGAATTTTATCACATTTTCTTCTATTATTTATGTAATTTCATTTCTTTAAAAAATTTAAGGGGGCCTCAGGATATGGCTCAGTTAGCAAACACACTTACTGTGCAAGCATGAGGACCTGAATTGGAATTTCTGGCACACACAAAAAACTGGCGTAGCTCAAGCCAGCAGTAACTCCGGGGCTGGAGTGGGTGGAAATACGAGTATCGCATCAGAGCTTGCTGGGGGCCATTCTAGCTCCAAGTCCAGGAATATGGAAAGGTATAGAGGATGACACCCGATGTCTTCTTCCTTACATGTTCCTGTGCATAGCACAGCCGCGCGTGCGCGCGCGCGCACACACACACACACACACACACACACACACACACACACAGCTAAGGAACTGAGGGTATAACTCAGTAGCCGAACACTTACCTAATGTGCCAACCCCTGGGCTCAGTCACCAATCACACAGACACACATCCCACCAACCCCTCAACACACCAACCGAGAGATTCCAGTGTAGAATGTTTGCCACGAGTGTGAACAACACTGGATTCAGTTTCCAGCACAGCAAATAGACAAATGGAAGAGAAAAGAACAAATATATGGTCTTTGATTCACTGAGTCCCAGTACTCTGAGTTTGAGGCCAGCCTGGTCTATAGAGCTAGTTCCAAGACAGCCAGGACTACACAGTGAAACCCTGTCTTGAAAACGCCGCCCTCCCTCCCCTCATCAAATTAGATTGCTTCTTTCTCTGTTAGCTACCCTTCACCTCAAGG